AACTGCCATGTGATTGGTTGATTAGATAATTGCATTAATGAGAAATTGAACAGGTGTTCCTAATAATCCTTTAGGTGAGTGTATGTATGAGTGCTGATATATATAATGTTTTCTCATTTACTAGTTTTAAAGGGACATTTTAAAAGTAGGGCTACATTTCAAAATAAGATAAAATAAAATGTGAAAATTGTGCATGTTTAAATAAAGTGCTTAACTTAAACTGTAAAACCTTAATACAATCGTTTTATGTCATATATTTTAGTGTTAATGGATTCAAGTATTGGTTTCGATAATCCCACGCCGGTAATAAAATTAGTGTCTCGTTTTAATATAAATACATACAAACGTATCACTTCAATCGCTATTAGAGTAGGATATGGGCAGTCATATTGTTTCGAAACAATATAAAATGTACTGTAACATGTTTTTCTCATATTAGCTTTATATTTGTTGGAGTAACAACACAAACGGAATGACAAGCCATTTCAGGCGAAAACTGCATTTTATTTTTCATTTCAAATAAAATGCGGGGTTGCCAACTTTGGCCAACTGGCTGAAGTGAGATTTTCAGTTTGAGTTATCTGCACACAAATGAAACAGTTCTTACCCTGTAAATAGTCTGCTTTTGTATTGAACTGTGTAAATACACTTTTGACGCTTTTCCACCGCACAAAGTACGGTACTTTTGGTACTTTCGCTTTTCCATTGACTTCCGGTCAAGTAGCAGTACCGAAAGTTAACCGAAAGTGCCAAACCAGTTGGGGTACTTCTTGCTTATAAGACTATATTATGCGTGACGATCTACTGTATTCACATGTTATAATGTACCTGAGTGATTTTCAGACATTTCACATACCTCTTTGCTTTAATATTAGGGGAAACATTATTTCCTGATAGACAGGAGAAACATAGGGAAACTGAATTGCCCGGAACACCGTAATAGCAAGCCGCTTGGAAGAAATGGGGCAGACGCGAAACACAGAACAATGCCGCTTGAAAATCAAAAAACATAATTAATTTGTTTGCTTTCAAAAGACTGAATTAGCAGTAAGCTAATTCTCACTGCTTTGATCGGCTTAGCCAAAGTAAGTGTACCTACGTAAACGTAATTGATGGTAGCATGATTTGGATTTTACTGAATCTTATACTGTGATAGAAGCTGACATAACAATAAACCGCATTTTCCAGCCTCAACTGTTAGTTTTAATTTTGGGCTGTCAGTCAGGGGTGGTCACTGATGATATCATTTGGCGCCGGTACCATTTTTTACGCCAGTGGAAAACCGACATGAAAGAAGTACCAAACTTTCGGCACTTTATGGTAGTACCGAAAGTACGGTACCTGGTGCGGTGGAAAAATGCCTAATAGAATTGTAGCCTTGGGGTAATTATTTTGATGTTGAAAATGCTAAAATAGAATGGTTGCACTTCCTGCTACTGATAGCCATTGAGAAGTATGTTTTCTATATTTGGAATTTTTTTTTTCTTGATAATGGGTATAAATCCCTGAGACCATTATTGGTCTTTTTCTTTGAACATATTTGAGAATTTCAGCTGAAACATTTAACAGCAAACAATAGCAAATAAAATTATTACAAATATTTATTTTTATATTTTTATTTTAATATTCAGAGAGAGCAGGCCTGGTGGCATTATAGCCTATGCACTTTTTCTTTGAAGTGATTTTATTTTTGCACTAATGCACTACTGATTTTACAGTACTCAGTTTCCAGGTAAATAAACATATGTTTGTGTTTCAAATAAGAGTGAAATCTGTGTATTTGTGTACTGCACAGTGAGACCTTAATACCATTCCTTAACATTGGTTTCATTTCATCTTGGTAAACATAATGACTTTCGGAAATCGAAGGGAAACTTTAAACATTATACTTTGCACTTTTAATTTTAGTTGACTAAATCAACTGTAGTTTTAGTCAACAGTAATCTTATGATATTTAGTCGACTAAAACTAAAATAATGTAGATGACTAAAGTATGACTGAAACATTTTAGTCAAAAGACTATGACTAAAACTAAATAAAAATTTGCTGTCAAAATGAACACTGCTGGGAAGTCAGTTATAAATGTTCGGGAACATTTTGATTTCGCAATAAAATACACTAACACCATAGAAAGAAGAACTGCGAAGACCAAGACTGTCTGTTGGCAATGTTGCTGGAAACCCATCCAGCATGCTAACTAACTTGAGACGATTATCCCAGTCTGTATATGACTGGAGCAAAGCAGAATCTGCCTCTGCACGTTAGTCTCCCATGGCCTCCTTCCGAAAAATTTAGACCCGGCTAAAAGAATAACAATGGCTATAGAGGTGTACCAAAATTGTATCGAACTACTGTATGAACCCAAAACTGTGGTTCATACCGAACTGTGAATTTCGTGTACTGTTACACCACATTTGCTAAAGTATTTAGTGCATGGTTTTTCAGCCGACGGGAAACACAGTTTGGTCTATAATGAGCCACTGTAGGAACACAAACCTAATCGCGGTCAAGGAAAATTACCCAGTTGGCGAAATTTACCGAGGGGATAGGACTGGGTGGTTTTAAACGATGTACTGACATCCTCATAAAAAAATGTAAACAAGAAAATGTGAAACTTTGATAAACTGTCAGTAAGGAACAGTGCTTAATAGAAGATATCAACCTATCAAATCACAGAAAAGAACATCCAATCAATCATATGACAGTCTTTTAAGAGCGGAGAGCCTATACACAGCAAGGTTGGTTGAGTTATTGGAGTATGGATGCTACTGTTTTGGTAATATGGAAGAAGGAAGCACTCTCTGATGGGAAGCTTCAGTTGTCATTGAAGAACACGACAGCTCTGTAGCCACAACATCTTTTATTTAGGAAATATTGTGGATAAACAAGATAAAAATACATTAGTGTTGTGGCAGTACATTTTGAACTTTAATGTCTGACACAAAATAGGCTGGTGCTGTGTAACCTACTGTAAACACCAAAATCTAAAACTGTAAATAATGCAAACTTACGTTACCACTTCAAGCAGTGTCATCTAGTAGAACATACAGAATGCAAGTGCTTACAGTCACAAACACTAGCAATGAGGATTTCCACTTTCAATTTGAAGTAATACAAGACATATCACTTTTTTTTCACTGTGGGAAAGGATGACAATTTTAATCAGTAATGTCAAATCTGTTTCCTGTAACAAACAGTAAGGCAATCAAATAAATACACCTAGCAACAAAGTGTATTGTTGGTGTCACGCCCTACAACAAAAAAGTATTTTTCTTTAATTTATTACAATTAGATTAGTCCATTTAATTTTTCATCTTTTTAAAATATTCAGAATTTATTAAAAATTGAGTCTTGAAGTAAAGTAATGAATTATACAGTGAAAAAAAATTGTACAAATGTACAGTATGTAAAGGTATTCATCCAGATATTATGGGTAGACGGCTAATTTGCTTTTTCAACAAACAGCAATGGATTTGTTTTTTACTGGAGAGTACACAGAAAAGTTTATCATACCTGCTACAAAATTTGCTTATGGATTTTGGTATTTTGTGTTCACTGGACCTGGTAACTATGTTAAATATATAATGGTTTGCATGGTCTGATAATGCATATATATGCCTACAGGCAAATTATCTCATCTGTGTGTAGTATGACATAGTAACTCTTTAATCTGTGTTTTGTTACCGTGGGAAAAAACCACACTGCCATTTTTTCCCAAAAACCTTAAAGCATATCATCATCCCACTTGCAAATGCATGGATCAAAACCTTCATGCAAGGATACATTTCGAGAAGGTTATATAGTTATACTGTGTCACCCCCTCCTGTTCGCACACATTGTATAACATTAGCATGTGTATTCTTCATGTACTGATTTTGAATTGTGGAATTCTATGAATTAGTTGAACAGTAACCTCACATAATCCAATCATTAGAATACTGCAATAGCACCTTTTTACTTATATACAAAATGCTTATCAGTTGAGGTAAAGAAAATTGATCCTGTTGCTTATGGAATGTATGGGGATATGTGATAATTAGTATGTTATGTAGTAATTCACTTTTGTTCGCACTTCTGAATAAATGTTACACGTTAACCTCCCTTTTTCAATGGATCATGATATAGTAACTGAATAAATATTGGTGAAAAAGTAGCAAAGGAAATTGTTTAATTGCAAGCTTGGAGGCAGCAGTATGCAACTCAATGTATTACCACTGCTGTAAGCTTAGCTTTGCTGAGCATGAGGTGTTTTTGTCAGTGCCAGTGTTATGTATGCATAATATGAATGCTTTGCTTATTTGTGTGTGTATATGTTTGACTCAGTCAAGACAACACATGGGAGCCAGAGGACAACCTGGACTGCCCAGACCTGATAGCAGAGTACCTGCAGTCTCAGAAGGTGACCCATGATCAGGAGAAGGAGGAGGCCGGGGGAAAGAGGAAGAGCACAGAATCCGACACAGAGGGTACTGGGGAGGACAGTCGGCCCAAGAAGAGAAAAGACGAGGTGAGACGATAAGAAGACTGCTGTCAAACTTCACTTTTTTGAATATGTTCATAATGTGGTACAGTTTCATACTTTATCTTTTAGTCGGAAAAGCCCAGGGGTTTTGCTCGAGGACTTGAACCAGAGCGCATCATAGGGGCCACTGACTCCAGTGGAGAACTCATGTTCCTTATGAAGTGGTATGTTCCTCCACATCGCACATAAGTTTTTTTGTGCTGGTATGTTGACAGATGTGTCCCTCACATGGAGATTTTGCTCCCATAGGAAGAATTCTGATGAGGCAGACTTGGTGCCTGCCAAGGAGGCCAATGTGAAATGTCCCCAGGTGGTCATCTCCTTCTACGAGGAACGGCTAACATGGCACTCTTATCCCACTGAGGAAGAGGGAAAAAAGGAGGACAAAAATTAAGGATTGGGGATTTTATCAGGGGATTTTCTTGTGGATTTGTTTCTACTTACTATATATTGTTTTATACAAATTCAAACCTGTTGCAGTGGCCTTCCAGACACAATACCAGAAGAGTTGTGTTTTTTGTGTATGGAATGCAGCATTCCTTCTTCATTCTGTCTTGCGTCTCATTAGTGCTAGGACCAAATTTAAAGACAATAAAAAGATCTCTCTTCACTCCTGCCTTCGACTGGATCTTGCATTTCCATCAATGGTCCTCCTCCAGTCATGTTGCACAATATATATTTTTATCTAAAATCATCAGACAGGTCATTTGGGTTGTCTTATTCTGAGTGTGGGTTTTATTTTAGATGGAGTTTGGAAGGGCTGTATAAAAGGACTGATTTTAGGTCATGTGTCAAATCTCAAGAGGACTGTGGCTACATGTGAGGTGCTTCCATTTTTACAAGGATCTGTGGGTTTTAATTTTGGTTATTAAAGGGCAATTTAACAGCATAAATAAGGAATACTGTGAATTTTTGACATTTACTATAAATAGAATTTATTCTTACCTGAAAAGGCCTGGGAACAGCATGGATAGAACTGAGAACTGGTCACACATTTTATGTCCATACATTTTCCTAATGATATGATCATTCATTCACCTCAATACCTCATACCACTTGTTCTTTGAAAATGTAGGAATAAGTTTTTGCTTACAAAAACAACACGTCTTTAATAATGGAATTCATGCACAGAGCACAGGAAGGTGTACTAAAAGTATACATTTTCATAAGTGGGAAATCTTTTATGATAACCCACTTGTGACTTGCAGCAGATGTGTGCATACGTAATAGGTATCACACAGATATCGGTACCTCCCCACAGATCACAGGAAATTGAAGTTCCTCTGAGCCAATGTTCCTTGTCCCTTCTCTGTGACTGCTTCACTAGCCCAGTAATGCTGAGGTCCATATGGGTTTTGAAAAAAAAAAACACCTTTTCAGGATAATTTGTGATCATGAGCAGCTTGGTATACCTGACTTGGGTTTAATGTCATACATCTGAGACTTCTGCCTAATGGAATTCATTAGAACGTTTCTGTTCGACTAACCTTCAAAGGAGTTTTGCACTAATTTTTTTTTCCCCGTGGTTCCTCATTAGTATCTGGTTTTGTTCTTGTAGTGTGTACAATGTATGGTAAATTTTTCTTGACAGTGTTGTTGCTTGAGTTAAATGATTTTTTTCTTGTCATTGAATATTAAACATTTCATTCAAGTGTCATCTTTTGTCTAATATGGTTTTATGTGACCTGTACACTGAATTATCAGAAAAGCAATCCTACAATAAGTGCAATATTTTTGGTTGGACACACCTGTTCACCAGGCTATATGAGAGAAACACCTATAATTTTCTGTTTAGTGAATGAATTTTTTTCTCTAAATGGCAAAAACATCAAGATTGGGCTTGTATGCCACATTAAACTGTAGACCTATAAACATTCTTGTTAGTGGTTTTTCTATTTCAGAACCCTCTTATACACGTTTTCTCTACTTTTTTTTCCACATCTAGCTTTATTAAAGGGTCAAAAACATACAACAAAGTAACATCAAATCTTTGGAAATGAAACAAGAAAGAAAGGGAAAATAATAAAAATCAGCTCAACTCGGGGGGGAAAAAATATAATTGAAAGAACTGTTGAAAATACATGAAAGTATGCAGTGAAGGTGTAAACTGTTGAGGTTGCACACTATATTTTGCTCTTGATGGTGAGTGTGTGTTGTGCATGAGCACATGTGAGCAACCCCACCCTAGGCAGACTAACCCCACATGACCTGCTATCCCCGTATTTTAGGATGGAGTTTGTTTGTTTTTTTCATCCTCCTGGTTTGTTTTTGTTTTCTCATTTCCTGTTTAAATGGGAGGCAGTGCGCTGCATTGGTGTGATGCATTAAAAGAAACAGAGCATGAAGGTTTGTCGTTAGCGGGCAGGAAAGTGGCCCCTGGAGGGCCGCCCTGGTGCAACAGATGACCCAACCCATCAGAGGCACAGGGCAAAAGGGAGGGGAGGCAGCGAAACAAAGTAGAATCTTTGGAAGTGGTGGGATTAGGAGGCTGGTGAAGTCAACAATGGGAGAAAGATAAAAGAAAAAAGTAAAGACGGGGGTATTCCATGAAGCAGGCTTAAGGGAAAGTCTGACTTATTTCGACAAGTCAGTCATACTTAAGTGAGAGTTCCATTCCATCAACGTGTCTTAAATGAATCCCCGCTGAATTACCACGGTAATTTAGGCCTGCGAACAAGCCTGGTCTGCACCAGGCTAACTGTCTCACGTAGTTTAGCGTTGTCTCAAAGAACGTCCGACGTGTGGGAACAGATTCCCAAAAGATTGTTCCGTCGGACGAAATTCCGAGACCTTACTATTCATGTCATGTAATCTGTTGAATTATGTCCTCATCTGACATTATATTTTACATTATCTGATTGAATTTTTTTGTTAATCTGTAAGTACGTGTACCAAAATGACATGATTTTGTTTGAGAATGAGTCTTGTATATACGTATATAAAAAATGGAACCCTGTAGTCAGTGCAGTGAGTAAAAGCAAGACGAGAAAGCAGAGAATAAAAACCATCTTTTCTGAAGTAAAGCTCTGCGTGATACTTCCATAATATGGAGAACAGAGCTGAGATTGCTACATAATCAATATAATAAAGCCTATAAAATCACGTCTTAGCATTCCAATTAATTCCAAAATAATTACAGTAAAATCCCGTTATAGTGGACTCGCTTATAACGGAATATCGTCTAGGCCTATAACGGATGAGGTCCGCTGGTCCCGGCCGTGCGCCTTTAAGAACATGCAGAAAAAGCATCGGATATAGCGGACTCGCATATAACGGAATTTCGCTTATACTGTAATGTAGAAACAATTTGGTCCCCAGGGCCACTTTTAGCTGTAGTTCTGTTCGGCTATAACGGACATGCAGTTACATAACCTAAATACAGTGGCAACACCTGTCACAAGTCTTTTGTCAATATTAGGCCTACATGTTAATAACAATGACACCATTCAACTGACTTACCTGTCTTTGGTTGAATTTTTAGGTAAGTAAGACAAATAGTCTATCCATCCATTGTCTGAAACCACTTAATCCCAACTGGGGTCATGGAGGGACTGGAGCCTATCCCAGGAACAACAGGCAACAGGCAGGAACCAACCCTGGGCAGTCACCAACACACCGCAGGTCACACACACTCACAGGGCCAATTGAGATTTACCAATCAACCTAGGGGTTGTTCCACGAAGCGAGCTTATAAAATCGAGGATTATTTGTAATAGCCTCACTTGAGTTAGCCTAACAGTTTACTTCAGGCTCAGTGAGTTCCACGAACAAAATTCAGGTATATTTAATCTCTGCTAATTCAAGCCAAGCTTGACAAGCAAGGCTCGTGCGCGTCCACGCGATATAAAAGGCAGCCTTCTTAATCGATGGTGGATGAGTAAGAATGGAAGGACAGGAAAGAGCTGCGTTTTTTCCACAAGCGGAGCAAGAATTATTACTGCAAGCCTATGAGGACTACAAAGACTACATTTTTTAAAAATTCATTTAAAGCCCACGTTGCATTGTATAATTTAGTCACCAAAAAGAGAGCTGCGGCTGCTGCAACCGGTGGGGGGCCACCTCCAGCAGCCTGTACCCCAGCCGAGGTGATGGCCCTTGCACAGAACCGTACACGGCCTATTATTGAGGGGATTGAGGAAGGAACATCCTCAGACGTTGTTCCTTCCAGTCATGTGCAATATTATATGTTAAAGGTACCGTATTTTTCGGATCATAAGACCATATGGACCATAACACGCACCTAGTTTTAGGGGAGGGAAATAAAGAACAAAAAGATTCTGAACCAAATAGTGTCCTAAAATATTTTATGTCAACCATCCTTACCTGACCACATCCCTCCCCCCTTTTATGGCGCTGATGGGGATGTATCTGGATCGCGTTTCACCGCTGAGTTGTTCAGCAAATTACCATGCGAATGCGATTTGAATACAGAATGTGAAGAGTGATCTTCGGGTGACAACGGTACTACACGCCCCCGATGAAGGTAAAATAAAGTAAGGTGACATGGTTTGATTTTTTTTTTTATTTCACCTAATTTTGAAAAGACAGATTACGGATTTAGCCCAGCGTTTTTTCATGCTTCGACATTAAGATTTCAGCGAGATATAATTCGAAATAGACGCGAAAAGTACGCTGCGTCGCCGACAATGCACTCGACCCCAGAAGGTTAAAGCATGTGAGCAGAGCAATATTCGGACCATAAGACACAGTGACTTTTTCTCCCCACTTTTGGATGAGGAAACAATTTCTGTTTGCTTAGAAGTGCTAGCCATATGAACTTGAAACTATTTTGCAGCGAATAACATTTGTCTTCATTATAAACCCATGCAGTATTTGCTGTGTACAGGTAATGATTTATGTGTTGTAATGTAAATGACTAGATATTTAAAGATTAAGCACCATTAATTCCAAAGAAAGCTTCCTTAATGCCAAGAATGCCTCTGTGGCCAGGAAAGGTAATGAATATATTTAAAAAGGACTTTAATGCAACGTAAACCTTCCTGATTTCACGGCACACTGTAGCTTTGGTTAAATGTTCAGCATCTCCCACACTGTACAGAAATGAACCACTGGCAAAGTAACGCAAAGTGATACACATAGACTGTGCAACCGTAAGGCCTTTAGAGCGACGTGTGTTTTTAGAAATGTAAGGTTCTAATAACTGACACAAATATGTAATACTGCATCTACTAAATTTATAGCGCTCGTACAAATAATCATCCGGAAAATGCAACGGATCTATTCTGGGCTGAAGTACTTGTGGAACCTGTTGCCTTAAAGCTCTATGAATGACTCGCGCTCCCTCATCAACTGGATCATGAATAAACGGGCACGCCATGGTTATTCATGTAAAAGCCTTCAATGCACTCCTTGTCATTTTATACTTTCTGAATAATTGGAATCGCCTGCATGTAATCTGTAATAATTTTATATTGGAGGGTCGATGTGTGCGAAAGAGGGAGAGAACAGCAGCAGAATAATCCCAGCCCCGCAGAATGTCGTGCTGTGACATCACATGGCTTATCCAATCATATTCATCAAGCTAAGCTAAGCTTCATAGCTAACCTGCCAAGGAGCAGGCTTGTCCAAGAGCATATGTTGACATAGTAACTAAGCGGAGCTTAAGGTAAGCCTCGTTTGTGGAACCGAATTTGGAAAAATTAAGCCGGGATTGTCGAAATAAGCCTGGCTTTTGAGGTTAGCTCGCTTCGTGGAACAGCCCCCTATACTGCACACTTTTGGACCATGGGAGGAAACTGAAGCATGCAAACTCCACACAGAAAAGACCTGGGACCAAACCCAGGACCTTCTTGCTGTGAGACAGCAGTGCTAATCACTGTGCCACCATGCTGCCCTAAGACAAATAATACAGTACAAAATAATAATAATTATACAGTAATAATAAAAGTAACTACATAGGTACTGTACATGAAGCCAACAAACCGCTGATGCCTTGCAATGTTTTCATGAGTGTAACAAAGTAGTGAGTGCATTCGTTATTATGAACCATTGTATTTAACCCAAATTTTAAATAGAACAGGTAGTCCATTCATAAATACGAGTTGTCCATAAGTCAGACATTCTTAACCTAGTAATTGCCTGTGTTTGGGCCAGTCCATTACAGGGCACTCGCACACATACAGTGCATACAGAAAATTTTCAAACCACATTTTGTTATGTTTCAGACTTATCTTAAAATGGATTCAATAATTTTTAAAAAATACTAATCTGGACACAATATACCACAATAAGAAAGCAAAAACAGATTTTTGGAGTGTTTTGTTAATTAAAAAATAAAAAACTGAAATATACCATTTCAGACCCATTGTTATGAGACTTGCAGTTGGACTCTGGTGCATCCTATTTCTATCAATGGTTCTTGAGATGCTTCAACAACTTCACTAGAGTCCACCTGTGCTGAATTGAATTCATTAGACATAATTAAGAAGGGCACACACCTGACTATATAAGGCCACAGAGTTGATGGAGTATGTCAAAGTGAAAACCAAGCCATTAGGTCAAGGGACCGGTCTGTAGACCTGTGAGACACGATTGCAGCAAGACAGATCTGGTGAAGGATGCAAAAAAAGTCTGCAGTATTAAAAGTGCCCAAAAGCACAGTTGCCTCTATGACCCTGAAATGGACACATTTGGAACCGCAGTCTTACTAGATGTGACCGCCCACATAAACTGAGTAACTGGGGATTGATCAGGCAGGTAACCAAGAACCCAATGGTCACTATAAATGAGATCCAGAGATCCTTTGAGGAGATGGGAGAACCTAACCGAAAGACAATCAGTGCAGCATTCCACCAGTCAGGCCTTTATGGTAGATTGGCCAGATGGAAGCCATTCCTGGCTAAAAGGCGCATGACAGTCTGCTGGGAGTTTGCCAGAGAGCAGAGTACTCTCAAAATATGAATTAATTAAAAAATGAATTGAATCCATTTTAAGATGAGTCTGAAACATGACAACATGAAAGGGTCCAAAAACCATCTAAATGCATTGTACACACACTGTGCCATTTAGAGATAGCAGTTCATCTACAACTACATAAGGACTATGGGAGGAACCCCACATTACATGGGGGGGGGAACACAAACTTCACACACACACAGCAGTGGAAGGATGCACAACACCCAAACCTGGAGATGTAAGGAAACAGATCTACTCATGGAACCATCATGCAACCCCTAAACATTGTAAAATATCAGTGCAAAAATATATCTGATTTCTTAGCTTATTTCCCCCATCTGGGGGATATAATCCTTCCAGCCTGTGCTTCCACCCAGTGGCACTGTAAGAATTGTGCCATTGTGATAAAAGCACCAAACTTTTTCATATGGCACACATTTTTCATATGGTCTTTCGATAAACATTTGAATATTGGGTGATCACTAATTTTCAACATGGGGGTTATCGCAGCCATTTCCCAAAATGACCACCAGTCACAACTATTTTCTGAAACATTTTCAGGTAGATGAGGAATAAAATGTCAAATAGACCAGCGTTTATCAACCAGGTCCTTGGGGACCCCCCCAAATAGTCCACATTTCTGCTTCCTCCCAGACCCAAATGTGAAATGTCTGGCAGTGAGCTGGGAGGGAGCAAAAACAGGTACCGTCTGGGGCTCCCTGAGAACTGGTTTGAGAAATACTGCAATAGAACACATCTAAAACTTTTTGGGTATACATAAATTCTTTGGAATTGCCAGTCAGATGCCCCATGTTGGTCACCTGAAATTCAAGATGGCCACCATTATTTCCCCCCAAGATGGCAGCCATGGTTGCCTTAATAATTGCAAGAACTTGATATTCTTTGTCAGTTAAGTTCTTCTTGTACCAAATGACAATCTGGAAGTGATTAGTTAAATGTGACCGGGACTTGACCAGGATTCAGATGTTTGCTGACATCAACCATTACATTTATCATTGCACCCATGTGAGGACTCTCGTGAAAGAGTGGAATGTAAGCAGATGAACATAAATCAGGTCCACCAAGTACAAGGTGGCTATGGTCCACCTCTGCCCCTGGCATAGTAGTAGTGGTGGTGAAGAGAAATTCCAGTAATGGCAGGGATCCTTGGCTGTTAACCATAATGCCAATTCCACAACAGCAGTGTTAACTCAGAAGGGTAATCATGCAAAAACATGTCACTTCCCACTCGTAATGTTTGAATTTCAGATTACGGTTTTAAAATACTTTAAGCCCCTTTTTTGATTCATATATCCTTACCTGAGGGGAAAAAAAAAGTGTTATCCTGTGCGCTCTCAGGCTACCTTATTTTTACATGTATTTTTTAGAAATAATCAACATCTTGTTACTGACATGTAAAGTATTGATTGTAAAGATTTTAAGTCCATATTTAGAACAAATGTTACACCATGAAAGAAAATCCCCTTTGTTACATTGAATGTGGCTTCAACGTGAGAATATTAAGGAATTCATTTTTTTCCCCCCATGGATAAATATGCTAATATACAATTGACACGTTTACCACATCTCTTAAGAAAAGGTTATGAAAATAATCTCCCAATTTCTTAGGGCAGACAACTGATCTCTTTTACACAAATTGATTCTAGAACAGTGTTTTCATTTTTTTATATTAGAATTTTATACAAGAAACAGGGTTGACAAGTTATTGAGTTATGATGGGACATTTATAAAAATTCAACAGGACCAAAAAATAAACAGGTTTATCAAGAGGTTTTAGCATAGATGAAAAATTGCAGACATAAACCAAAGGTTTTATTCAAAACAAGAACTCACACCAGCATCACTCAATATTTCTTTTTTGCTCCAACAGAATGCGGACAAACCCTAACTGAAACAACCACTTCATGTAACATTTCTGTCTATTTACCCAATAAGTATTTCTATCTAGAAATATCTATTCCGGCCAACAGATTGCATGTATTTCACTTGGCCGTATCCTAAATCTCTAGCCACTCCTCAGTTTTAAGGTTACAATCAGTGCAGCAGTTACTAGTCATGTGATAAAGGACATGACACTCTCTCACAATATGAGAGGCTTATGTTGTACTGTATATGTACATTTGAAATTTTAAACAAACATCCTTTTCTGGTAACACGACTGAATGAGCTTGTCCTGTCAGATTTTACATGACTCAAAAGAAAATTGAGGGCACTTTCACAACCTCAAGAAGGCAGATGCAAATTCCTGGAAATTATGCAACTTTTGGAACTATCAAGCATCTCAAATTTTTTTCATGGAAAAGTTAGTTGACAACCTGGGGACCCGACTTGCTTTAACATTTCACACATTGTAAATAAAATTCATTCATGAGTAATGAAAGACGACGAGACTTCATACAAGTTTAAGTTTTTGTATGACAATGCGATTTTTTGCTAGATGTTGAGACCAAAAAAGTAGGGAAAAAAAACTGGGAGCTGGTTTTACATTTTTTGCAAGATGCTTCTCAAAAAAATCTTTCGAAATAAAAATAAAATTTGAGCCAAGACATCATGGAAACTAAGTTAGAATATACTTTGACATTTAGAGAGCAGTTAGAGACAAGATGGCAAGTTCTCATAACTACCCAAACATAGCAGCTGATATGACATTTTATTCCTCATTCATCTGAAAACAGTTCAGGAAAAAAAAGTTGTAGTGGATAGGATTAGGACACAGCTGCCCTACAAGATGCCATTTTAAAACGGTTCTTCTATTCACATCTGTTGTGAGGTTACATCAATAATATTGAATATAGAGTCAAATGCTTTTTCTCATCCGTTCATTACCCCCTTGCCATTGGCACCTACAGAGGTTGCCTCCACACATATTGCAGAGGGACACCTCCACCTACATTCCAATCTTGATCCAGTGTTACACATTACAGATTCTTCAGCGCCGGTCATTTACCAACCCTGTTTGTCTTCTTAAAAAAAAAAGGGGGAGAGGGGGCACCAAGATTGCTTGATCAGCCGACCATTATTTCAGTTGATGTAGGTTATTTGAGTTGAAGTCCAGGACTCACCCTTAGGTGCACAAGTGTCAAATGAAAAATGAAGATCACGTAAACATGGAATTTTTAATATTAAAAAAAAACAAACAAAAAAAACGATAAATCACCACAAGGCAATCATAGTCATACCTCATGCCTCTAAAAGGACCTTATGGAATATTTAGAATCAGTTTTATTTACTTACAGGAAGTCTTACACTAACATGGTGAGATGTTCCCAATCATTTACAGCATCTCATTTTGGTTTTTTCCAGCTGTTGAAACATCCATAATACATCATTGTATCAACAGAATGAATCTGCAGAGAAGGCAGTTTAAAATATGACGACTCACACTTAGACCTAGTAAAAGCATGAGCTTGGCAGGATTGGGCAAGGATAAATGCAGTGACAGAGTAAAAATACCCGAGGCAAAGATAAGACTGTACAATGGAGGAGAGCAAACATACAAACCCATAAACATCCATTTTATAAACTTCACCACAAGTGAGCGACCCTATTTCAAAGTGCATCATGGTAGAACAAATAACGGATTTCTCATTCTTTACATGACAAATTAGTCAGCATTATTTAAAAACCTAAAATTCACTGGGTGTACACCATCATGGCTTACAAGGTTGAGACTATCAGGTACATCCATGAATAAGATTGATGGTGCAGAGAAGCATAATCCCTGCTCTATAATAGAGTAGTTCATATATGCAGCAAACACTAGAGAATCCTCCTCCCCACTCCTCCCTGTAGACATGAATATGCCTTATGTGACATTTGAATTATACAAGCGCCTAGCTTCAGTCCCCAGTGTGTACACTGTTGATGGGTTCACCACAGTGCCAGATTGTCCGTGTGGGTAAATCCAGGATCCTCACGGATCTTCCAGTAGGTGTCATTAGTGATCCATACCTCCCTGCCAGAAGAATCCAAAGTTTTCCTAGAGAGGGAAAGGGGGTTTGAATGGGGGGGGGGGGGCAAAAAAAAAAAAAAAAAAACTTGCATTAGGCACTTTCCCCACCAGAGTTCAGGAACCTAGTTCCCGATTCAGAGATTCGCCACATTTTGGTGTCGTTTCCCACCATACAACAGAGACTATGACCTTTATGCTAAACAAGCATGGGAGGGGCAAAAGCTCATAGGTTGAATCGTCACAATTGCAGACGAAACAATGAAGGATGTTCTATTCTACTATACATTAGTTGGGGGGGATTTTTTGCTCCACTACTTTCATCTCCTTTCCCCACACTTCTGAGTAGTGTCAGTGCTTGTGGGTTTCACTAAAGGAACACCCCAGTAGTTTGTGCTCACACCAGAAGTACCTAGTCCTGAGTAAGGACAAAAAAAAAAAAAAAAAAGTTTCTTGAACTACTTCATAGGAAAACTATAATCAGACATAGTTCCTGCAGTGGGAAAGCGACAGTAGTTGCTGGTTCCTGAAAATATTTAAAAAAAAAAAAAAAAAAAAAACTTCCTATAGTGGGAAAGCACCTATTGTAATTTGTTATGCAAACAGAGCAAAAGAAAAATCAGGGTTTCTTACAAGGCTCAGCCCATCAGTTTAACATTATAACATTAACTGTTGACTTAGACAAGAGGAGAGCTGCAAACCTGAAAAATCGGGGTACATGTTCCTGGCCTTTCTTGGCCAGAAGTTTCCTCCGTTCCCTCTGCTTCTCCTCCACTTCATCCTTGCGTTTATCTGCCTCATTTACCATACCCTCTTCCAGAAGCCTTTGGAGCAAACAAAAAAGTATGCATCTAAAATCCTACCATATACGTGGTGAAGCTACACGTTACATCAGGGGTGGGCAATCTTATCCGCAAAGGGCCGGTTTTTGGGATAACCTGTAGGTCAGCTGTTCAAACCCAGGTGTGAGGACTCTTCAGCCATTCAGTCCTCTAATTCATGACCCAATTAGGGAGTTGCAGCGAAAACCCACATACACACCGGCCCCTTTGCGGATAAGATTGGCCAACCCTGCGTTACATCAATAGGCTGATAATTAACACCTACTCCCAAAACCATTGAGTATTTGTTATATGTAAAACCATAGTGCTGGTTTACAGCTTGTGGATCGAGCCTCCTAGACCCAAAATTCTATTCTTAAAAAATAAAAATTTCTAATTGTTTATTAGAAATGAAGGTAGCCACAAATCTAACAGGCTGGATGCTTCTGAGGAACTACACAGCTCCATCTGCTCATGTATTTGACAGCACCTACCTCTGATCAGGGCGGAAGCGGCTGTCAGTTGGAGGAAGCAAAGGCAGCATTTCAGGAATCAGCTCATTCATTTCCATGGCAAAGCGCGAGAAGCCATAGTATTTAAAGTGGTCCTCTGGCTGGGAATCTGAAAATCATTTGCAGGTAAGTGAATCAGAAAAGTTATCCTGAAAGATATTTAAAACTTATGACGAATCAATGAAAAACAATGAAAATCAAAAAAAACCTAAACATTCAATCTGAAAATTAAGCCGTGATGGGTAGCGACTTCAAACTCACTGACCATGTACTGGATAAGTGGTTATGGTTGATAAAGCCATGAGTCCCAAACAATTTAAATTATTCAAGTAAATTTAAAAAACATTAACCTCCTGAGATCCGACCTATTAATTTATGTCCATTGTAGTGGACATTGTATTTTTGCATTTATTTTTTCACTGATGTTCGGAAACATTTATTCTTGTTGTACACTAAAGAGGACATGCTGCAAAATTAAAATAAGAATAAATTTGAAAAAAATCTAAATTGTAAGATGTCTCACAATTGAAAAGACAAATAACCTACAATTGAAGGACACTTTTTTCCTTGGGTCTCAGGAGGTTAAAGAATTTCCACTTTTTCCGGCATTTAACAACAGAGCCATTAAAACATGTTGCAGAGCACCATGCAGCTTATTGAGAATATTTTAGTCTTTTCAGGCATTTAAGTGATTGATAAGATGCCCTGTAAAACATTTTTTTTATTCATCATGTAGCTGTGTTGATCATCAAAATGTAACAGGATATGCAAAGGTTTAGGCATCTTAATCTCCCAAGCTGCAACTTGTGAAAGGAGAGGCTGGGAGATGGCTTGCCTGATTGTGAGGATACATTCCTTTAAATAGAGTTTAACCTGTAATTGGTACTTACTAGGTTTCCAAACACACTTTGGCACAGGAAAGGTGTCACAAAAAATCCCCTCGTGCCAGAGGCCGCCAAAACGGTGGACCACTTCGCCAGACTCATTCAATACCTGTCCTTGTACCTCGTTAATGTTGCTGTCTGTGCTCCAGTAGCGAGACTGTGGTTCAGGAAGAGTTTTGCGTAAGACAATATGATTACCTATGCAACAATGAATGCTTCCTTCACATTTTTTTTAAGTCACGCACAATTTGCCAAAACTTCAGACAGATAATTTTACAATAGACCATCTGAATATGTAGCAAATATATTATACAAACAGAAGGAAAACTTCAAAATTTTTGGAAATGATAAGTTCCCCTCTAAATGTAATTCAATATTACATCATTGGGACCAATGGTAATCTTTGTATGCAGGATGGCATGCTAAAAGATCACCAAAAAAGGTAATTAAATAAAACGAAATTGACTGGAAATCATTTTAAATGTTGAAAAAAAAAGTTAGAGCTTAAATTCACAGCCTCTTCAGTGACTAACACTTCAGACCTGAGTGCCTTGAAGCTGCATTAAAGAACTGACCTTCACAAATGTGATTTTGCAAGTGCAGACATTGCTGTTGGTGTTGCGAATTACAACTTCACCATAATGCTCTAGCCAACGCTGCTGGCTGAGCACATTGTGGATGCAGGTGACCACTTTGTTCCACTCATAATGATCACCAAACCTGTAAAACAGACACTGTTTAATCTACAGCTAAGACTATAAAGCTTATAAAGCTTCTGCGGAGATCTGCCACACCCTGTGGTGCCATCATTAAAATTACTGCCCTCATTCCAACTCACATCATCTACAGAGGGATCAACACTCACCTTGGAAGCATGACATTTACCATTCCTGTAGGAATAATTTCCAGGGATTTGCCCCAAAACTTGTTTTTCCATCGCTGATCTGTTAACAGATTTTTAGTTACCTGTGATTCAGTCGGGGAGATTAATTCTATAATTTCAGGAAGTACATCAGGCTGCTTTGGAACCCTACCTTGCCAAAATTTGAAGTTCTCAGACTCCGCATGGCAGGCAGAGATGGGAGGGTGATGACTAACCTAGGAATAGTAATTCAGACACCAGGCCTTTTAAATAAGTAACATTTCTTTATAAAGCAGCTAATCACAGACAAGAAGTCAAAGTGCTGTACAGCCTAAAACGCTTAAGAGTACCATTAAGATGAAACAAAACAAGGAAAAAAGTAAAACACTACTACAGTAGCAGTAATAACCAAATACAGGAAAAAGATTACAACTATATTCAAATGTCTTGAAAAGTCTTTTCTTGCTTTTTTTAATCAATCAACTACCTCGGCTGAACGCAATGCTGGCGGGAGACTGTTCCAAAGCCTTGGTACAACATACTGAGAAGCGTAATCCTTGCATGTCTTTAGCCAGGTACATGGAATGACAGATCGCGCAGTCCAGACCTAAGTGCCAGACAAGCTGTGTAGCAGTGCAAGAGACCAGTAATGTATTCTGGCACTTGCCCATGCAGTGTTCTATAGGTGAACACCAAAATTTGAAAACTGATTCTATACTCAACCGGAAGTCAATGCAAAATGCGAGTAACGTGTGCTCTGCAGCTAGATCGAGTTAATAGCTTAGCCGGTGTATTTTGAACCAACTGTAGCCAAGAGTGCGAAATTTTGGTTAGACACGTAGAAAGCATTACAGTAATCAAGATCCAAAGAGAAAAGCATGAAGCTCCAATTCTGATTTTGAAATGACAGTCCTCAGTTTAGAAGTGTTTCTTAAACAAAAGAAACATGAGCGGGTAACTGATCTTACATATAAATCTAGGCTTAGACTAATCGATGACCCACATATAACGCAATCTCGATTAGGTAGCTGGAGACACAAAAGCAAGGTTAATCTTGCAGTGAAGGTTAGGGGTGCAAAAATTAGGACCCCAGTCTTTCCTGAATCCAACTGCAGGCAATTATTGCAGAGCCACTTTTTAAACTGTGGCAAGCAGTCAACCAGAATGGATGCTTTGATTTGATTAGGTTTAAATGAAATGTATAGCTGAATATCATCTGCATAAGTGTTTAGGAAACACACTAAATCTAGTTTAGTTTCTTCACCTGAATTATTGCAAGCTTAAAATGCGATGAAACAATGCCAGACCTCAAGAAGCAATTTATAATGTGCGTAATAGTCAAAAGCTTTTAACAGTAATAATGTACATAAATCAGGATGACATGAGGGTTTCATTTTTCTAATCAAGGCAGAAAGATGAAAGACCAACATAAACATTAAGAGTAATGTGTATAGTAATGTGATTGAAACATGAAGCCGGAATTATATTAGCCCTGACATCACTAACCCTACCAACAAAATGCTTAAGTAGGTTATCACAATCACTGTTCGAAAAAACCTGAATATTAGCGGGAGCCAGTAAGACAATATTATGAAGTGTGTCAATTTACACTTAGGAATTTCGCCTGTTAGTCAAAATAGGGTTGAAAAAGAAAGCTGTTCTAGCATCCCTGACCACAGAATTAAATGAAGTGAGCAATTAATTCCTTTAAATGAGAGAGATGAACCTCCACATTAGAGGACTTCAACTATTCAGCTTTCCGAGAGGAATGCCTGCGATTACGGACAAAGTCATTCATCCAGGAAGCCGAAAGAGTAAGCTTTCATTTTAAGGCCAATGAGTGTCGCAACATCTACTCTTCAACATCCACTGTGTGCATACATCATACATCCTGCAATTGAACGAGATCCCATCCAGGAGTGTAGTAGGGACATGGATACCCTGGCAGATTCAGGGGGGGCAGAAAAATGGTAACCACGCCTAAAGGAGAAAAGAACCAGGGGTCTGGAGACCATGCCAGACTGAATGGAGTAAAAGAGAGGGGTGCACTACACTGAATGCAAGTCCATCACACACACAGATACACACCACTTCAAAGATTCCATTTCCCCATATCTGTATGCCTTGGGTGAGCAAGAGACAGCCAACGCAAGGTGGGAAGAACATGACACTCCAAACAGTACAAGGAAATTCAAAGTAAAAATGCTTTGATTTCAAAAGTGCTCACCTGCTCACTGATGTAGCAAAAACCTCGGTCTTCACGCACACATTCAAAAGTCTCCCCAAGCACAGGATTGAAGGGCTTGTAGCGGTTGCGATAGCGTGCCCAGGCATAGCCAGAGATAGCAAATGCAGCAACATAGACCTGACAAGCAAGCAGACAGAACATTCAGCAATATTTCACCACTCAGAACATTATTTCACCAAGTAGTAGATCTCAAAAGGTGCTGCATAAATTTAGTCACACTCAACGTTCATATTTACGATATGTAGTCTTAAAATGGGATATCCCTCAATGTGGAAAGGCAAGACATGGCAGCTTGCATGAATTATTTTTTTTTTTTAATCCATCCATCCTCAAAAAAAAAAAAAAAAAAAAAAAAAAAAAAACAGAACAAACATCCAATTATGCCCACAGCCTTGGAGCTGCTAGGGCACTGTACTCTTCTAGTATCAGTCACATTTTTTTCCCCCAATGATTTCATTTACAGAAATCAGGGGATGAACTGGCTTAAGAGACAACTGGAAGTGGTACGAGTAAAGAAATGAGTACTGCCCAAATAAAAGTGTATCAAGCCAGACATTTGGCCTTGTACATGACTCTATCCCATCCAGAGTGCATGCCTGCCTTATGCCTTTAAATACCATTACTAACATTAACAAAACTCCACACTAACTGACCTTTACTGCTATGCTAGAAGCCTGAAATTTAAATCAGAATTTGGATAAACCATGTAATTATTCTGTACATGGTAGAAATTAAACTGAAAAATTTAAATAAGAATTTCAGCACTATGTACTACATTAAGTAAAAATTAACTTGCACTGTTTGTATGTGAATTGTCACTGCACAAGCTTTGCATCAGATGTGTTGCACATTGTAACTGGATTTATAATGTAATCTCATTACCATCCTCTGATAGGGGTCCTCTGTGTGGTTGGCAGTGTCAAGCAGCTCTGAATACTCTAGCTCCTCACATAGCCTCTGCATCAGACACAAGGGCTCATTGAGAGCAACTGGCATGGACACTCGAGACAAGTCCTTTCCAATGTTATTGTACAAGATGGTCATCAGCCCAATGTGGCTGTTGTCTGGGCAGGAGGCAGGAAGGCTGGTGCGGCGGCCGGTGTCTTCGGGGACAATGGACACTTCAGGGGCACTTGAGACACTGGCACGGTAGGTCTGGGTGGAAACCACTGTTGGGGAAAACCAGAAGTTGATGGTAACACCTAAAAACAAATAATGGTGGTGGGGGACGCTAAGTGAGTTAAACACGAGTAGGGGCGGGGGGGTGGAGTCTACCAACCATGACTCTCCTCAGGCTCCGAGTTACTGGTGGTGATATCACTTAGTCCTGACTCATCAGAAGCTTCATTTTCTGAGGAGCTTTCACGTTTGAGGACGTCACTAGCATCAAAGTACTCTGCCATCGAATCAGCCACAGATGGGGGCCTGTGACGTCCTAAGAATGCTGGCTGTAAGAGGAAAAAAATGCAGGGTGAAGCATGAGAAGAGTGATACAGACTTGACAGACTAAAGGATATCGAGGAACTTAGAGTGGAGCAACATGGAGTGATGTTACAATGTAATATGAACTGTAAACTGGTAACACCTGTTCCTGTCGTACAGTACAGAAGGACTCCTCGGTAGAATCAGAAGACAAGGACAAGGAATGGACTTTGGTCAGACGGGACTGTACTTCTAGCTGTAAAGGGACACAGATATAGACCAAACAGCAAAGGATAAATCCAGGTTTTTAAAAAAAAAAAAAAAAAAGCTTTTACACATTCAGAAAAAAGCCTGCAATGGCTAGGAATGTGACCTTTCACTAACACAGCTGAGTCATGGTCCAGTTTATCTGGTCCAGCTGGTTCCGTGTTGGTATCGCGATATAATGAAGCAGCACTTTGAAGGGATAGAGGGAGCCTAATGGAATTCAAGCATTGTTTACAATTCCTTGCTTTCCACAGACTCATGTTAAAAACCCTTTCATTGTTTTCGATGTACATCTCATATTGGAAAAGAATCTTCATGTGCCCTGATCTGGTTACTTTAACATATGCTAGTACAATCAAAAATACGGAAACAAGAGCATGCATAATAGGTAAACATTTTTGAAAGTGTCAGGCCCCAAAAACCCCTTCACCTCAGAGAGGGTGGTACACAGGCTGGCCAATTGGTGGGATGTAGCCTCTCGGAGATGCGGCCCTGCCCAGGTCTGCTGGAGACGCTCCCTCTCCCTCACCAGGGCTTGATGCACGGATGCGAGCGAGTTATGCACTTCAGGGAAGAGGAGAAAAGAATCAGACAAAATGTACTACTGATGTAATTGGCGATTCTGATGCCTTCTAGTATTTTTCAGGAAAGATATTCATGCTTACGTCGCTGAGACACAACACAGATTTCCTGCTGGATCTTCCTGCCCTCAGGAGACATGGCACTCTGTGTAGACAGCTGAGAGTAGACGTAGTCAGGGATAGACTGGACTGATGCACCCATGTGTGATGAAATGCTCAGATGGCTGGAGGTGAACTGTGGTGTAGAAAAAAATTATAGCTGAATGTATGTATGTATGTATGTATGTATGTATGTATGTATGTATGTATGTATGTATGTATGTATGTATGTATGTATGTATGTATGTATGTAT